TCCGTCGTCACAGATTAGTTTTTAATAATTCTTTAGGTGGTGATACTTAAAAATGGAAAATTTATTTTTAACTGTGTTAGTAATACAATACAAAATAATTAATTACTCTATTTCATAAGATGGTAATATGAATCCATGTAAATGCAAGTAATGAACCATAATAAGAATGTATAATACTCTACTAAAGTAACATGGGATATTTTAAAAATTATATGATCTTCTTCATTGACCACACAAATTTAAGTTATCTACCATTTCTTAACATCTAAATTCAGTGACAATATATTTATTAAACTAAAAAAATTTGAATTGACATAACATTGAAGCTGTTGGCTACAAAATAATTATTCACTTCTTAGTATGTATCATTTATAGATGGTTAAATTTAATTTAGAAATCTTGTAGTGCAAAACTTGAGCAGTATCATTCACTATTGTTACACATTTGATGAATATGGATTGTATTAGTGTTTTTTGAGTGACTGTAATTGCTTTCATACTTTAGAAACAAATACTACTGACTATAAGCAAAGATAGATAGTGGTTAGCAGTGCGATCCAACACACGTATTTTGTCCTATTTGGGACTCGTCAGTTGGATGTATCTGCATCTCAGAGTTATTGTTCACTCTGAGATTTGAACCCAGTATCGTTCGCTTGAAACGCCATCGCATTATCCACTTAGCTAAGACGAAACGCGCGTCCTAGATTCCACTACTAGCCACGAGCCATCTTTGCTTATAATGCTTGTGAATTAAGGCAATATCGAGGCAATACGTACAGTATGCACATATCCCAATAACAGACTGTTTAATTACAGTCCTAAGCATCAATTAGAAGATTCAGGTAAATAACACCAAATGAATTTAAATACTACTGATATTTACCATCAAAATTAAATGCAAACAACAATATTTTCTAAGGAAACACTCAGCTTCAAGTGTCGAGTATCTCTTATCCTATGAATCTCATATGTTCTTTCTTCATACTTCAGCAATATACTAAGTTATTATTTTCTAAATTTTTTCTAACTATTCATCATTAAAATATCCGGTTAATTTATCATGGTATATCTTATTATTAATTTGTTTATTATCATTTATTATAATTTCATATTATTCATATCCCTTATAAATAATCCTAGTAGTTTTATTATTCCCAGTAATTTAATCCTTATTGATAAGTCTTTATCAATCTATTAGTATACATATAAAAATATAATTTCAATTCTCTACAGTCTATCACTTCAAATGATATCTTTTGGTAATATTGAAGTTTATAATAATTTGAAGAGTAATTCACTAACGTTGTAACCTATTGATTCACGTTAACTAAACAGATCCCTCAAAAGTCTAAATATCATATAAAAAAGGAATTCTTCGGATAATGAGCTACATCAACTGAATATCAGACACACAATTTTTGTAATTTGCCTGCCCAATCTGATAGATTATTGCTTACTAACTAAAGAACTCTAATCTGTTTTGAAACAGAAGGAAAGCAGTTATGTAAGGTTCAATTATGAATATTTTCAGTTTTATTGATTTAACATTACCGTAAATTATCCAAACTAATCTAAAATTAAAGACTCTTATTATTTACTGATGACAATATGTAACAAACAAGATATAAATTACGATGAAAAACCTTAGGTAGTATGATCCATATGATCTGAAAATTTTTGTATGCAATCTAATAGTATATTAAGATAAATTATTACGAAAAATACACTAAGAGAGATTACATATTCATACATTATTTAACTTATTGTTATCACCTACGTTTCCATTATAAATCATTTAATATTAATGGATATAATTTATCTAAATACTATTGTAAACTTCAAATATACTAAATTGACTATCCTTAACGATGAGGGGAAAATAAATTATTCGTATAAGATGGGAAGTACATTTCATCCGTGATGTTCAACATCTTCAATACCGCTAAAGTTATAGTTCGGATGGTTTGTTTTTTTTAGTTGTTGATGTATTTCTATTTGTTAACACTCCAACTGATATACATAATAAATCATTATAACACAGAAACTAAAATTCATAATTAAGCCGAAAATATAAAAATGATTTGTGTTTGTAAATAATATTAATTCATAGACTATAAGTTAAATTGATAGTTTCGAATTTGATCAACAAATAAACTGAATAGTAAAAAGATTAGAAACGGTATAATGAAACTCCAAAAACATTATTGTAAAAATAATAAATTTTATTGATTATTTTGGTGGAAACATCGGGTGATTTCAAAATAGTTTATTTTTTAGTCTTATTTATATAATAATTGAATTCATGAGTCAATTGAAGCTAGACCATTATGGAAAATCTGGATTGGTTGAAGCTAGACATTAACATTATTGGATGACGGCCGGCTCAGCGGTTTAAAGGTTAAGCGTTTGCGCGCGAAACTGATAAGTCCTTGGCTCAAATCTTGCTTGGCGGAATTGTGGATACGCACTACTGAGGAGTCCCATATTAGGATGAAACGTCCGTCAAGTGCTCAAAGGTTTACCATGATGGTCTAACTTCAATTAACTCATCAATTCAATTAATAAATTACTACAATCTCCACAAAATTCCTCTGTTGTTCTTTTAATTAATTAATGAAATTATATTACTCACTAATTTAAATAGTCAATAGAAATGGAATAACTAATGAAATTACATTCCAGTAATATCTTAAATTTTTTTCATTAATATTCAAAGTTCAGTAAGTCCATTTTAGCATTTACAAGCCTAGTTATTTTCTAGAAAATCATTAAAAAAAAGCAATAAACAAGCAGTGACCAGTGGAGTTCAACCGGGTCTGTTGTGAAATAGTAACGCACTTAACACAATGATGAATATGTCGCTCAATTTCGTAGATTGGTTGAAAATAGACATCAAAACTGTTGGATGCCAGCGCAGTGGTCTAGATGTCAAGCGTTTGCGAGCGAGACCGATAAGTCCTGGGTTCGAATTTTGCGAGGCGGTATCACGGATTCGCACTGCTGAGGAGTCTCATACTAGGATGAAACGTTCGTCAAGTGCTCCCTGGTTTTCCATGGTGGTCTAACTTCAATTAACTCATGATCTCAAGTATTAAAATAAATATGAATTGGAAAATCTAAATTAGGTCACAGGATATAAAAATTTGAAATCAGATTATGGATGAATGTGCTAATTAAAAAACTTGATCTGACATTTACGTCCTTTAATGGATAAACTAATCATTGTTCCAATCATTTATCTTGTGTTGGTTGTGTTTAATCTTCCCATCGACAAGATGAATTAAAATTCACATCATTTTATAAACGAGTAGCTAACTGAACTAAGCGGTTCTGTAAATAACAAAAAACCTTTTGACGCAAACGGTACTGGGTTCAAATGGAATAAGGAAAGGAGGCACATCCATCAAACGAGTTCTAAATAAGACATCCTGGATCCTGGATTCCACTGCTAGACACCATTATTCTTTGCTTATACCTGGTGTATTGTAACTTATTTATTCATCCTATCAAACATAGATAATTCTTGCAAATTAAAAGTGATTTCTGTGCAGTTCAGAATATATATATATGATTAGTTATTAGTAAATTTCAAAATTTATTTGCGTATCATGCAATTAGTGCTGTTCTTAAATTTACACAAAGTGAAAACAACAGTATTTACAGAGTGGGGTTAATTTACCATATTCACAGGATATTGCCATTCTAACCTTGTTTACATAAACCGAATATTTAAGAAGTTGGGTAGAAAACAATTCTTCACTAGTTGTCATTCTCTTCTTAAACATTCACATTCTAGTGAATTTGAACAGCTAAACGTATCCACTCCTCAATGCATTCCTATCCTTTCTTTATATAGATTTAAAGATCCCATAACTTTTCTTTCATAGGTTTGTACTTCGAACTTCAGTCAGTTCATGACTTAACTCAACGGTTTTCATTCAGCATTTGTTAAACATCCAGTGACACTGAATGACTGTCGCTCAAACTGACTGAAAATGGGAATATAGGTCATCCAATTGAAAATTAGTTATTCAGTTGTATCGTTTATATCATGAACCTGAATTTAAAATTTCGATCGTTGGTTAGCTTGTGGATAGGTACTTTTTAAGGAATAAGGCAAAATGTCAATCTCATACCTCACTGTTAATATTAGTGAGTAATTCATACTCTACCCAGAGTTGTAGTACTATTCTTTTACAATTGATTGATCACTTAGTGGTGAACATTGTCATTTATGTCAGGTCAGATCGAATCCTATCGATCAAGTTGTAATGTGGCCACCAGTCTAGGTGACTCGACATCGCGTTCACTATGTTGAGATAAGATGGTTGTTGGAAGTAATCAGTAGAAAACCTTGAATCTAGGTTTCGTACTATTCTGTTTTACTATTCTATTTCAAAATTTATCATATTCATGTATTTTTTTCAATAAAGAGTCACATTTCTTATAGATCGTGGATGAGCACTGCTGAGGAGTCCCAAACCAGGACGAAACGGCCGTCCAGTGCTTCCAGGCTTTCCGTGGTGGTCTAGCTCCAATTGACTCATGATTTCAACTACTGAAATTTCTTAAAGAACTATCCAAGTTGTATAGTTCAGAATTCTAGATAAACCATCACACCTATCATCAAATCACAAAGAAGAAAAAGAAAAGTAACAAGTAGATCAATGTCATGAAATATCACGACATGAATAACTTGTTAAAAAAAGATATTGTAAAATGTAATAAATCTAGATATTCATTGTTAAGTATAGTCAGATACATTTAATTGTTATGCTTAAGAATTGACTTATTCAAGAAGAAAATAATAGTGAAGAAAAACCTGAATAAATTAATGTTTAATTCCTATGTTAGTTCTATTTTAAATTACTACTTTCTGTATTAGTAAAACAAAACACCAGCGTTATAAGGTTGTATTAATATTAAAACAATTGGAATTCTGTCTAGTTTAACATTGTTTTTTTCCTTTATTTGTATTTACTTTCATTACTTAATCAGATATCTCAAGGTGATTTACCATGGATACATGGATTAAATCGAGCTGGTGTAAACCAAAAACCATATCATACACTGGGAAGAGAACGTCGATTCTTTTGTAATCCAATGGGATGCGTCTAACTGATACTGATAAACAACATTTTTTTTTGAAAAAAACATATAATCATATAATTATGTAATCATATAATCATGTCTGTATACTTAAACAAAACATAAATAAATGTCTTTCTTGTCAATAATTAATAAAAGTGATAAATAAAATTATTTATACAGAAATCAAAAACAGATAAATTTTTCTATTACAATGAACGATCATAGACGCTCTAATTAAATGTTGATCTTCTTTTTCTCGAAGTTTCACACCAAAGATTAGTTTTGGTTAGTTAACCATTAAAGCTCAGAAAGCACTAGACAGCTACGTTGTCTTAATATGAAAATTTTCAATAGAGTGAACTTGCCTCATAAAGAATCTAACTCACACCCTATTAGTCACTTAGCAAACGCCTATGCTTCAGACTATCAAAAACGGCATCGAACTTTAATCAATTCATGAATTACCTCGAGAGATAATTTCTGGAATTCTGGTACAAAATATTGACCACTGGAATAAGACAACTTTCACTAATGGTAATGGATGACATTAATTGGTGATAAGAAACTGCAAAACTCCCAAGTATAGAAAATCGGCTGACCAAAAGAATAGGCCACTTCATAAACAGTTTGGTATAATTGAAAAAATTATGATAATATATGATAACAAACTTTATTTTCTAAGCATATTTACATGTCATCATTGAAAAAATATTCGTTATCGGAAACGTAGGAGGTGTAAAATAGTTCATTTTACCAAAATTTAGTAGGTTAAGCTTTATTAAAGTTTCCATGTAGTAATTAAGCCACTTTTCAAACACCCAGGATATTCGAATAGAACAGAATGATTTAATTCGGTATCAAGTGGTTGGTGATGGTGATTATTAATTCCAAATATTTTTCTTACATTTATTGTTGGAGGACACATGCATTTTATTAAAAAACCATGACTTTACTCATTTATAAAAGCTAACTTTCGTTAGATCTCAATACACTTGTAAACACGGTTAAACAATTGTCTTCATTTGAATCGGATATGTTCACTACTAATATGTCTTCAAATAGTTGTATTCATCATAAATATTAAGTGAACTACTGGTTAGATATCAGTAATAAATGTTATACTATGGCATCCACAGTATCGATCCTGATGCTCTGTAAGCGAGTTGACTTAATCATTAACTGTATTTAGTTTCTATAGGTCGAAGAAATTTCTTAAAGAACACCAAAGAAACATCTTGCTTCTCTTGATATTGTTCATCATCAGCATCGTCATCATTATTATCTTTGGAATCTCGTAGAAATTCATTTTTGATTAAAAATTCAAACATTTATCTCCTGAAGTCGAAATCATGTATGATGCTATTGAAGTACTATAAATACAAATGGATCAGATAAACTAGTTAGCTTTCAAATAATAATAAGTTCTATTTTTCTTCAGCGCTAATCAACCCTTAAAATCTATTACTGTAGTTGTTGGGATTTTTTCATTGATTGACAATACTTTTGATACATATACGGTAATAATTTATTTCTATTGAAATCACATAAGAAGCTGAGCAGGATAAGGTTACAATTAAAGCATGAATAAAATGGATCACCGTTGGGTGAGTATTTGCTTTACCAGCCACCTCAATCTATTGTTTTACTTATCATTAGTTATGCAAGTATATCAATAATCATAACTCAAACCAAACACTAGTGGTCATAAGGTTATCACTTTTTTATGAACACTGTTCCACAGTTAGAATTGTTCCATTAGTAAAGGCTTTACAAATAAACAACAACATGTACATTCCGACAAATGAATTAAACTAATCCTTTCGGGTTTTTGAGATTGGAACTCATTTTTGTAAACCAGTTAAATCACAAGCATCATGTACAAGTGAATAAACCGCAATTACATTATCTCTAAGATAAGAGCAAATAAATGATGCTTCATGGATTTATACTGCTTAAATTAGTTCATTTATGCAAGTCATAAATTTATAGATGAGTAGTCTTTTGATAGGAAAATTCGATTATTTATATGCTTTTGTTTCAGTCCTCTCAGTTCCAGTAAAAAGTAAACATTTTCGACAAGATTTAGAGAAGGATAGTATTGCTTTTCGTACAATCCATAGATTATCTGTAATTCATACCAGCTTTCATTTCATTGAATTTTTCATAGATAACCAGTTGTTTTATTTCTTTCCAATGAATCCAACCAATTGTTCAGTGCTTATACTTCTTTGTTAACTATTCAATAAAAAGATCTTCAATCTATTCCTTGTAGATTTAGTTCTTCTATTACTAAACGAATTACAAGAAATGTTATTATTTTATTTAATACGACTGACTGCATACAAGATGTATTTATATATTTTGAATGATCCAAAAAAAAAGAATTTTATATGGAAAATGTTATCAAAGATTAAATCAAGCGTTATCATTTGTTAAAATAACCATTTAATATCAAAGAAATAAGTTTACTGTTTTGCATCTTGATGGCTAACCAATTAATCTGATGTGAAGATTCAAAATGAAGTTAACTAATTACTTATTTCTCAAGTGAATTAAAACTATGAACTTGAATATTACTGACTCAGTGATCTATAAAGGAACATAAAAGAATTAACTTCTACCTACGACTAACTTTTATTAGTATCAGCTAGTTCTGTGCAACTGGAATCAGAGCAGTAAAAGCGTCCACTATATATATATATATATATATATATATATATATATATATATATTAGATACCCTCTGAAAGGCATATATCTTGGCACTCTAGACAAGGCAATATTTTGCGATTTTACTGAGTAGTTTGAATATACTCAATTTAATTCGTCTACTTGTTCGTTCTGTAAATAAACTAACTGAACTACTTCGCAAAATGTTAGAAATTTGATTTTGTATTTTTTTACTCACTAAGATATTACAAATGTATCATTATTTTTAAGGTAAATAATCTACCTTATAGTAGATTTGCATGAAATTATCAAGTCAAATTTTGATAATGATACCTTAAACTCCGATCATTGAACTATTCATAAACTCTTAATGAATAAGTTTTTGAAAGTACCTAGATAACTTTCAAAAGAAAATATCACTGCAAAAATGTATGACCTTCAGTTAATCCGATTTATAAAATTATGTTAAGTGGACAGATTATATTTCATAAATCATATAATGACCATAATAAAAAGGATTATTTTCAATTTTTTTTGGATTAATGCCATCTGATAAACCGATGAACTCTAGTGATCATTGATTTACTGTATATATATATATATATATATATATATATATATATATATATATATATATATATATATTCTAGATACCCTCTGAAAGGCATATATCTTGGCACCCTTAACCCAGTTATTATTATTCATTTTTAAATTATTGAATAAACATGAATTAATTCACTGGATTTTTAAATCCATTCCATTTGCTGGTAATTTTCGTTTTATAATAATTTTTAGATAAATTTTTCATTGTTGATATATTGACTCTAATCATAACGTTTTATGTAGGTGGGATTGTAAATTTTTTTTGTTTCATTCGTACTATCCATTGTACTACTCTATACAACTCAACATGTGATATTATCAAATAAAGTAATTATGTCGAATGGTAATAATCATTCATATTTATATATATGCCATGATAAGTATTAGATAGATAAATTGAATGTTATTTCTGTACTACTATATGGGTTGTTTTATAAATCTAAATTTCCATTTAATTGACTTTATATTTAATGTTTTTTTTATATTGGTAAATTAGTATTAAAAGCATATAAGGTAAAGAGATGGGAAATAGATGACTAAAATATGTCAGATTAATCTTAATTATTATGAATAATTAAATTTATAATAATTTTAATTGAACAATGTTGAAAAACATATTTACAACTGAATTAACGTTATTTTGTGTTTTCATGTTTATGTAATTAGACATGTTCACCGTTGAGTTGTTTCGTATGATTAAATGTAGTAATCTGACGATTTATATAGTGAAACTTGGAAGTATAAAATTATAAGTGATGAAATAATTAAACTAAAGAACAACCAGATCGATGGAATTTTTCGTTTTTAGAGTAGACGATACAAGAAAAATAAACAATCGCATCATTTCAGACTGTTTTTTTTTTGTTTCAGATTTATCGTTGAAGACTTCAGTTAGTAATTGCTATAACATATGTAACTTAAGTATGAACACTTAGCAACTCCATTAAATACTGCTACCTCTCTTCCAACCTATTTCTGCTACATTTTAGTGTAATAATAAGCTTAGCAATATACTGAGATACTTTTGTCCTTTGGTTTTTGTGGTTGATTCACATTCGCAGACTTCACCTAACCTATTCAATTCCTAGACTGTTTAAGTTCAACAGTATTTTACGTAAACTACTGAATGTCTTTGAAAACTAATAACACAGGACAACTGTTTCTAAAAACAACGTCATCTAATGAGTAAATGATATAAAGATAAATTAAACTGATGTATAGTTATATCCAAAAATTTCCAACTACTCTCAGTCAGTCAGTAACAACGTAGAACTTCGTACGTACGTACATCAGTTCGAGTTTCCACACCACATTAGCACAGAGACGCAGTTATCGATTCAAATCCCATAGTGGTGGAGGCGGTAAGAGTATAAGCACTAATCGGAAACATTGGAGCTTGAAAATGTTATTCAAGGAGTAGTATAATCCAGTGAAAGAAATTTAGAAAGAGAATAAAAGAGACAAGGAGGATTCAGGACATGAGAATTTGGGAGAACACAAAGAGTGGATGCACCTGCACTATTGCAAACGATTTTGAGCCGAAATGGCTCAGGGTCTCTAACCATCGGTTGCTATCATCCCGCGGTCCCCAACCAGGTAGTCTACACCTAACAACATGACTCAGTCCACTTGCCAGTGACTTCATGGATTTGTGCCATGTTTTGGTCTGGCCACCCCTAGCTTTCTCACTAGAACTTCAGGAAATTACTCTTATTATTATAACTCATTATTTCTTGTGAATAGATTTTCACTGATTCCTAATCATTTATGAAATTTTTACATGGTAATTAAGTAGACTTATTTATTAATGAATCTTATCCTTATCATCATACAAAGTATCCCGTTTCCTAATAACTGCATTACTTACTCGATGGTCCCAGGATATACGAGCAATGTTTCGAAGGCACCTATGATTAA